TATTAGCTAAATAAAGTCGAAAATAGCTAAACGTTTGCATTTTTCCCAAAGCGTTGTTATGGTGCTCAAAAAACTTTTTATAAGTATCTCCTCCCTGGCGGGAGGGGCAAAATGTACCAACTGGAAGCCTGGCCAAGACAAAAAATTGTTAAGGCTAAAAAAGTTGTTTAAGAGAAAGTTTGGAAAATCTCTTTAACGGGAGGTCTGAGGAAAAATTTAGGGGGCTAAGCTTTTTCATACAAATTTATTTTTGAAATAATTACATCAAAGTAAAAAAATGGAGTAAACTCTGACTTTTAGTATTTATGTAGCTCCACGAAACATTAAAAATTTAACCAGACGTAATTATATACCTTACATTTGGGTGATTCACGAACATTTCGAAACCCATATGCACATATGCCATGGTGTGGCATGTAATAAAAGATCCAGCGACATAAATTAAAATAGCTTGCCAGCAATAAAAATTGTTTTAATGCTTTTCTACCGCACAAATAAAAAAATTTGAGCACAAATTTTTTTCACTTAAAATATTTGGCGCGACATTTCTATTTTACATTCGTCAGCTTGAAAGCGTGAAAGTGCGTAAAAATATTGTGAAATTTTAGTCATTTTCCAACCAACGTACTGCACATCACTAAGCATGAATATGTACGCTTACACACATACCTACAAAAAAAAAAAAAAAAAAAAAAACACATACGCCGGTTTGCATGTATGCCAACTCCTCCTCGGGTGCTACCTCAGTGACTGGTTGGTTAGCTGGCGCGCATACAAAAGACTTAAGCAACGAACGCGTTTCAAGCTTCATTACGCGTGCGTGTGCGCGCAACGTCTCTGCAGTGCGTATGAGGTAGCGCATTAACAGTAGCAAATACATATGTATGTAATATGTATGTATGTATGTATGTGCTTCTGCAATTATGCATGTGGGCACACGAAACGGTATTCGCAAGAGAAGTCTCATCTACAGCGCCAGCATCTGCTATCCGTGGGGTGTCTATTTGTCAGTCGAATAGTGTCGATGAGCTGCTAAAATCCTACTTTCTATAATTAGAGCATTCTATGGCTACGGTATGCTTGTTTTACCAAGCAGCCAACTTTTGTAATTGCGGCTGCAGATATTGTTGCTGTAGCTATTTGACAGTCTAACCAGCTTGCGGTCGGTTTCGCTGCGAATAATTTTTCAAGCTGAACACTTAGTAGTTTAGTGTGAAATGTGTTTCACTTTTTAAATACCAACAAAAATGCGCAGGAAAATAGTTTTTTTTTTGTTATTAAGCAAAGAATATGCAAGGCAGGGGGAAAGAAAACTATGAAAAAAAAAACAAAGATAACATTTAACACTTTGGAAATCTGCAGAAAGTTATTCGACACGCTGAAGGTATTTTAAATACATTTTTATACACATATTTATGTATTTATTTAAGTACTTATGCACGCTAGTATTCAGAGAAATTTTAAACAAGCGCATGTTTGGCTAATGTTTGTGATATGAAAAATTAATCTCGCATTAAATGAATTAAATTTCTCGCGTTCTTCTTAGAGTTAAATGCATAGATTAGCCGGAAGTTGCTTACAACAGTGGATGGAGCAAGTTTTGTGCGCAGTCGCGTTAGGCGATAGTTACGCACAGCGCGCTTCAAAGCATTTATAAAGGTATGCGCGTACAGCCGGTATGCTGTTTTCTAATTCCATATTTTTGCAACAAAAATGAGCAAAACAAGTAACTTTTTTATTTAATTGAATACAAGACAGGTGTATCGCAGAATTACATATTTATCTACGCTGCACTTTGAGAGGTATTCGAATATATTTGGAAAGATTTCTTGAAAGTTTAGCATCATAAAATAATGTATATGTAGTGTGAGAAATTCAGGGAGATGTGACGCCCCATTTTTTAATAGCTCCTATTTTTTCCATGAGTTTACCACTGATGTTACGTATCTCTATACTAAGTTGCAACACACTACCAGAAATACTTTCAGAGTTATGCTGTGTGAAAACTTCAGTTTGTATGGGAGGTGCCACGCCCCCTTGATATATTGAAATTATTTTTCTTCTGTTATCATCCTTGGAGAATCTGGAGTCGATGTCCAAAATTACAAGGTTTTTCGGCTTTCAAAATAAATATAAAAAAAACGTTGAGAGTTGCCACCTGTTTGAAAATTGGAGTTTAAGTAAATTGATAAGATAAAGTAAATATTGCAATATGGCTGTCAAGAGGAAGAGGTTTTAGCCGAAAATATTTTTGTGGAGGTTGCCACATGTATAAAAATTTTAATTTTATTTAATTGATAAGATGAATTAAATATTGCAAAAGGGGTCTCAAACTGAAGAGGTTCCAGGAGGCTTACAGCTGTTAAATATTTTTGGGGAGGGTTGCCATCCGTTCGAAAATTTTTGTTAAATTAAATTGATAAAATAAATGAAATGTTACATTAGGGGTATTAAATAACATAAAATTACTTTTAAGGCGCAGTGAAGCACGCCGGGTATGTAAATAAAAAACTAGAGCTTTTTAAAGAATAGCCACAGATAGATCGACGCAAAATTTAATTATCTTTTATTAAAAAAAAAATTGATTTGTCCGCAGCGACCGTTTCTGCCTTACTCTGCGCTGTTCGTTATCAAAATTAATCTCAGTGGCTTTATTTCTTTTATGTAATACTGCAAACATTTTTCAGTTCGGAAAGGGATTGTTTTTTTAATGGTTATATATAAACTGACATATCAGAATATCTATGTATATTGCATATCTTAACTGTATAAGTATTAATGATAATTGCTTATAAAGCGTTCAACTCAATACTTCGCCGTTAAAATTAGTCCCGAAGATGTCGCTAGGACGTTGGTCTACTAAAAAAATATATATAGGGGACGATTTAGGTTCATAAACGACTATTGTTTGAAAATATCATTGCCGTTACAAAAAAAAAAAAAAAAAAAAAAAAATTTTGTGGCGAAATTTCATTTTTTAGTCAGCGCTCACCAAATAAGAATTTTCAAAATATTTGTTTCCCGTGTGTAGCGTTCAGTCAGGGTGAAGGTTTTATGTCTCCAGCAGTAAAGATGCGTTCACACAGAATGCCGAGCGGTGCCGAGCTGAGCAATGCGAAACAAAGCGAAGCTGCCGTTGTTCACACTTAACGAAGCGAAGCGGAGCTTTTTTGTGGACTCGGGCGCAAAACATACCATTACCGTCAATGAAAAGCAGCAAAAATATTTGCTCAATTTTATTTAAGAGACTAGATGTAAAGCTCGTTTTTGTTTGAATATTTCGATATCTTGTTTGTCGCAGCGACAGGAAGCTGAAAAATTAAATAGAAAATTCAAAATCAAAACCTGCTTTGTTTTCAGCTCCAAAACGCATATGAAAAAGCTTTCTCTATGAACACTTTCATATATACATATAGTTAGTTACAACAATTTGAAAGGTTCGCTTAGCTCGAAACGGCTTAGCTTGCCTCGGCTCCGCTTTATGTGTGAACGTACCCTAAGAACAGCTTTCTGTCTTAGATACTGATCTTTTTTATTTTATTTTTCTAATGATTCTGCTTACACACAAAAGTAATGAAACGTATAAGCTGTCGTATTGGCCTTCAGTTTCTATTAAAATCCAATAAAAGTTGCTAAAGGTTTTTGCCAACAAATATGCATCTACGAAAATGTGATGGTCACTGAGTTAGCTGAAAAATTCCCCTACATAAAGATTGGATCAGAACCTAAATAAAATCACATCTTTGAAATAACGTTTTAAATGCCGCACGCAACCTGGAGCAAAAGAACTCAACTGACTAGGCCCGAATAATGCTTTAAAAAATTCAAAATCTTTTAGCCCAATTCCAGTGTTATATCATAAGTCTAGTTGTCATACTTAAGAGACTACCTATTATTATTATTTTAACTTTAATACTCGTATAAAGAAATTTTATGAGTGTCGAGTGAAGTCTTTTATTCAGTACATTGATTTCTATTGAGTTCCTTTTTTTTTAATTGTTTTGGAATGACATGGTTTAGCTTGAGCACCAAATTATCCACAAAGTTTTTGGCTACTGGGTCTATTTATTATAATATTTATTATTTGCATTGCTGTACTTAAACAATGAGGTGTTTTGAATGAATCCAAACCTCTCTCTGAAAAAGATATACTTATTTAAATTGACTACATATTTTATTTTTTCTCAACTCGTTCATTTCTTAAAAAAAAAAATTGCATTCTCAAGCGATGGCATGCTTCTGTTCAATGAACTGTTTGCCAATCGAGTTTTTTCACAACAAAGTAAAGTTGCATCGCTGCCGCTTTCTACCACAAATTGCATTTAGCAGAACAGAAAACACACATAGTAGCCATTCAGCATCAGCTTGTTTAGCAGCGCTGTATACTTATTGAATCATGCCAATCAGCAAAATTAATAAAGCAAATAGGTGTGAAACAAAACAGAAAGCTTTCACTGCAAACCACTGCCTTCCAAGGTATGTAGATAACTAGTAGAGTAGCAAATAATCAGCTCAATAGCAAGTGAGCAAAAAGTAATAGAAAGACATATTAAGGCATCTAAGTTGCGCCATAATTGAAAAATAAACAGTTCAATGCCACAAGTATAGCAACTTTTTTCCAAACTAAAAAAAAAATTCCTGAGCAATATAGGATGATTGCAAAAAATATATATTTACTTATATGTAGATATGAGTAAGTTTGCAGAATAAAAATTTCGTTATATGTACTTATGTATTTTTTTAAAGTTTTTAGTCGGTTTTGCACTCAATTGCGCTCTTCCTCATGTCAACTAAATCGTGCATAGACCAAAAATGTCAACCGCCGATGCAATTTAATGACCGATTAAGCCGATTCAGAAATTCGTAACAGAAACTTCAATTTTTTCACACTTAATGAACTTAAAAAAATATCAACGCTTTTTTTTATTGAGTGCATAAATACAACAAACGAAATATGACGAGGTAAAATAATAAAAAAAAAAAATACGTCAAGCACTTACCGCTATTATTCGTATCAATTGGCTGAAATCCATTTGTCGCCTGCACTAATGCGGCTATTATGTACAGTGTTGCTAGCAGCCAGATGGCAGAATTGATTGATCTTGATTTGGAGGTCAGCATGTGCTGCGCTGTCGTTATCGTTGCTGTTGCTTTTTTTGTTGTGGCCAATGTTGACTTTTTGGCGCACGCTGCTGTTTTTAATGCTGCTGTGGATAGCCACGCGCTACGACGCGTCGCTATGCTAACCCAATTCAGCATTTTGAACGCGATTTTTGTAGTGCCAGATACGAGCGATTTCCACGGCACAGAATTTTAGACAAAAAAAATGTATTTATTTAGATTGTTTTGGGGTTTATTATTTTTGTCGAGTGTGGCTTTGAAGAAGTTTTTGCGGTCAATATGCGATTTGTTAGAGTTCTTAGTTAGTTTTATTTGTTTGTGCTGGTGCGTTCTCCATTCGATTTTAACAAAGAGTAATAAATTCTGTTAAGATTTTTTAATTGACGAGTTTTTGTTTTGTTTTTGTAAGCACAGAAAGAAGACATAAGTAGAAAGTAGAGAAGAAATTGTCACTGTAAAAAGGAAAAGTGTGGAGTGTTAAGTGAAATGTGAAATAGTTCTTGGTATTTGATTTATTTGTTTGAAATATTTGTTGTTTTAGCACACATTTATTGTTTCTGGCTTATAAAATGGAGTTTTGAATTCAGTTTCACTCAGTTGGTATTGTTTTTTTTTTTAATTTTTGCAAACAATAGTACTTCAAAAAATGTTCATAGAAAATGGTTTATACTGGCCGTATACCTAAAAAAAACTTTTATGTTAATCTCAAAAAAAAATAATAATAATTTTTTACATATGTCTATGCTACGTGTAATTTAATTCTTTTTCAAACTGAATGTTTAAACACTAACAAGAAATTGCATGCAGTTAGTACAGGGTGCTGGCAGTGATTGTCGACATGCGGCGTTTTTTTCATTTCAATCGATTCCTTCGTGCCTTGTTGTATTAAAATAAATATCAGTGTGCAAGTTTTTGCTATTTTTATTTTATTTGTTTAATGTTTATTATTTTGTAGTACCGTACGAAAAATACAAAAAAAAAATCGGAACAATGAAACCAAACATACTATAGTAAAACTGTTAGTTTTTCTCTCTGGCGGGATTTGTTTAAAAGGACTTTGTGGTTTCAAAGATATGATTAATTCTATAAGTTATTTAAAAAATTCAGTGCAATGTAGAATGGCAGTATAGGTATCAGATGAAAGAGAAGATTCTGTAGAGTTTAGAAAATTAAAAATTTTTGTTTCACAAAAACGTATTGGTATTGAAAGCGCTCTTTTAATAGTTTTCTTTTTAAGCTAGTAAAGTTGGACGAACGAAATTGGAGGACTGTATATTAGGCTTTAACATATATTTTCTTCAAAAATAAGTATTGCAAAATTTCAAGGATATTCAAGCATAAAATTTTGAAGAACATTCTTAATACCTAATCGTCCTTATGCACCAAAAATTTCAATCTGCTTTAACTCGACGGAATTTTCTCTTTAATTTGACGTCCATACTGTTTTTCTATATTGCAATGTAATTTTTAGAAGTATTTATTTTATTTTTCGAATTTCAAAGTCCTTTATAAAAATATCCTGACATCAGAGAGAAAAATTATAAACGCAGTTTTACTATATAGGCCAATGGCATCACTTTAAGAATCTTATGCATTTGACAATACCAAATATGCTACTGGCCAGAAGGCCTTGCAAGTTTTTATTGCTGACGCGAAGAGCGTCGGCCATTCATCAGCCAGCGTTTACCCATATCTCATCGAAAAGGAATATTCTGACGCAAAGTTTATATTTTGCTCGAAAACAAGAATTTTGAACTGAAGCAATCTTACAGCTCTTCATTTGCATTGTTTTCAGTCAGCAATTCCAAAAGTTGTATGAGGTCTCATTTGCTCAATGCTAGCAAATACCTAGCTAGATCTACTGAGATTGAGGGCAACATGAGTTTTGTCCACCTGCAGCGCTTTGATGTCTTCGAGTTGTTGTTCAGCGAAATATTCACCCAATTTCTGAGCGAAAGTTGGAGTGTTATAACTGGCTGCGGACCAAGGAAAACCAGGTCTTTCTAGCCAAGACCAAAACTAGCTTGTTGTGTTTATAAGCAGACATTTACAGACACGTAGACTTCTTCCTCTATATCTAATTCCCGAAACATAGTGCATGGTTTTTGAGGATTGCAAATATCTTGGCTTGGAAGTACATTGTATATTCATAAAAAGAGAATCGAAATTCGAAGTTCTTAGCTATTTTATTCTATACAGACTTTAGATCCTGATCCCTTTGCAAATTGGGACTTTCTTCAGAACCCATCTTTGCGGATTATGACTCAAATTTACCTATTTCTTGTACTTTTAGTGCTGCACTGTTGTATTCAACATCGTGCAGATATAATAACGTTGGAGCTACTAGAAAAAATGGATTATTTTCAGTTTTCCAATTCTATTTCATTCCAATTTTTATTTTGCTCGGAACCAAGTTATTTCAGTTACTAGTTAAATAAAGATCATTTAGCTCCAACTTTAACTCAAACAATATTAATTTTAAAATATGACTCTTTTCTTTTGTTATATAATCTTGTGATGAATTTGTTCATACCGCAAACTTTATAAAATATGCAGGCTGTTTATTTTTTATGCATTTGTATGTAAATTTAATTATTCACAATTTATCTGAATTACGGATTTTATAATTTGCGTTTATGCATATTTATGTACATTAGATCATACCAACCTACAAGCAACAAACAAAAAGTTCGCCATACACCACTGAGCCTAAAGTATTTTTGCAAGGAAATTTCGAAAAAAAAAAAAAAATTTTTTTTGGCCGAACCTTTTTGTATTTTCGGTTACACCTACATTCTGCAATAAGCCCAGTGATTTTTGGAGAGCGGTAGTTTAATGATATTAGCGTAGTACGTTAGGCTGTTATGAACTTAGATCTGGTGCGTAAGTATTAGGAGGGGGGACTTGAGGTCTATGAATTTTGAAACAAAAAATATTTTCTCCTCGAGAAAAAACTTCGATATACGATTCCTTAAGATGCGTCTGTAAGTGCCGAAGATAAAACGAAAAATGTAAAAAGCAGACCCCTACGTTCGATAAAAAATAAGTTTTTTTTTTCGAAATTGCCTTGCAAAAATACTTAAGACATAGGGTTGCATGGGGCGCTTTTTTTCTGGACCACCCTAATGCTCATAGTTGCGTATGCATATTGACTAAAATCTTCGACAGGCTACTGTTTACTGAACTCATAAACTACGCTTCATTTTAGCACAGAAGTTTATGCGGTCCGCCGTTGTGGCCGTCTCTGTGCACATACATAGCTTTCGTTGTTGTGCTGTGTATTGCTTGCAAAAAAATACCGCTATTCTTGTGTACGTTCAATCATACGCTTCATTCAAAACGCATCATCGACATTTGCAGAAGCTTACAATAAAGCAAGCAAAACAATTGACAGCGTAAGGCTAGAGGAGGTTGGTTGGCTGACTAGCAGACAGATATGCGAACGAAAGACTGAAGCAACGAACTCGTTGCGCTGCACTGAAGCAGCAGTACACTGTTTAACACAAACACACTTACTTAGCGTTTTTCTTCATCTTAATTATTGATGCTAATGCCACTGTGTGTGTGTGTGTGTGTGTGTGTGTGTATGTGCATATACACGTATTGGTATCGATTGGCTGTGATTGTTGCTGTTGTTGGTGATCTGTATTGTTTTTTTTTTTTTATTAAAGAAATGCAAGAGCTGGCAGCAAATGCAGATAGAGGCGTTGAGTGGCAAATGCACTGGCCAAACTGATAATTTATGCGCGTTAAGCGAAAGAAAGAGGAAAATTTGTAAATGAACCGCAGCAGTAAAGTGGCAAGAGTGAGCACAAAAATTAATGCAACGACAACAATGCCAATAAACAAATGCGTGTATTTAAGCTTACATACCAATGTAGCTTGAATATGTCTGCTCTGCCTCGATGTGCGAACCGAAAGTGCAGCAACAGTACAAGGCAACACAAGAAATTAATAGCAATCAACAAGCATTAAGTGTGGAGAAAAAAATCTGCGCACTGCCACTGCCACTGCCACTACAACAGCAGCGCCAGCAGAACGGTGTTGCTGTGAGAGTTGGAGAGCTGAAAAAATGTGTGGTAAAAAAGGCAAAGCGGGCCAAAACTACATACAGACACGTACATGACTAAATAACTGACAATGTTTGCCAGTCGTGATAACTGAAAAGCCGCTTGAGCTGGCCGCTGTTGTTGGCGCGGTGAGGGGAATATGCGTGCGTGTGTGTGTGTTTGCATATATGTGCGTGTGTGTGTGTGTGTAAAAGTCGTCTCGGCTATCAGCGTCAACAGTTTGTTGCTACTGGCGTTCTGTTGGTCCGGTAAACTAACTGTGTTCTCGAGCGTTTCGCATGCAAACGGAGGCAAACCATGGCGGGCAGTGTAGCGCCAACAACAAACTGGCCAAAGACGCTAATTAACACATTCTGAATTGTATGTTATTTAGTAGCTGTGAACGATGGTTTTTGAGTACTTTTCGCAAGTATTTAGCTTAGTTATAAGCAACTTGGTTGTTTTTTATGCGCAGAGTTTGGAGTATTTGTTTTAGTTAGAGTGTTGTGGGAATTTGAATTTTTTTTCGAAATTCATAACAAATATGGAATCAATATTTATGTGGCGCCTAGCTTAGACTCAGTGATTTGGCACTACATACAGTGCTGGCCACTTGAATGTGAATAGCACACACTTCGGTACTCAGTATGGACAATTTTACTTGTGTTTATTTAATAAACACTACTAAAAATATATTTTTTTTTGTAAAATTTGGTTATTCCGTATGAATAAAGAAAAACAACAATAAGAAATGATTTTTTTAAAGAATTTATCTTAAATAAAAAAAAGTATTTTTTTTGTTTAAATATTTTTGAGTTTCAATATATTTTGTTCAAGTTTTAACTATAACAATTTTTCTATGACTAATAGTTTATCTCATAAATTTTTTAAAAACAAGTCAATTTAAGTGTGTTAAAAATTTAACTTATAATGTGCTCCAAAGTAATTTAGTTTTTTCGAAGCCCTTTTATTTATATTCATCAAATGCACTTCAAATACATCAAAATGGACAAGTATAAAAAAACCTAAAATCCATTAGTTCTGCTTGAAATGGAACGCGACTTTTATAAATTTTTTTTTAATAAAGCA